CACACACACACACACACACACACACACACACACACACACACACACCACTCCTCTCAGCAAACCCAGGGTGACCTTTCACAGTTCTGATCCCACCCAACTAAAAACCTCTTGTCCCACTGCCCTCAAGGCCCACTCAAAACTCCAGGAATGGAATCAGACCTACCCATAACAAATAGGAGCTTATTTCCTATGTTTCCCACCCCAAATTCAGACTGACTAAAAACTCCAACATGTCCTCTTCTCTGACTTCCCTTTCTTTATCTGGTAAAGTAAACAGCTTTCAAAGTCTGGATCAAATATGATCGTCTTTATGAGGGTTTCCCTGTCCCTAAGACCGTAAGAACACACTGCCCCTTTTGTTTCTTCAGCACTATGTTACATATCCCCATTATAGTATTTTTACTGGACTGTACTGTTTCAATGTGTATGTCTGGCCTTCCACCAAACTACAAGCTTCTAAACCACAGGGGTCCCTGCCTGATAGATCTTTATAACCCCAGCATATGGAATAGTCCAGTAACTGGGCATGGCTGCCTCTGAGGCTTTGCTCCTTTATGATGGCATGGGGCCTCCCATCCCACAGTATCACTTAAACAGAGTCCCAGAAGTGAACAAATCACTCAGAAAGTTAATAATGGTCCCTAGGGTTTGAGAGCCTGCCACAGGGGTGGCATGAAGCTCCAGCTTCTCTTTTAGTCTGAGTCTGGCCTTTGTACATGTGTTTCTCTGGGGCTTAGCCAGCTCAGGAGGTGGGGTGAAGGCAACTGTGCACCTTCATGTAAACAGTCACTCATTCAAGTCACAGTTGGGCCTGCCACATATTTGTCAGGCTAGGCACTGGGGACACAATCAAGCAAGGTAACCCACCCGGTGGTTTTTGGTCTCTTTAGGGAGACAGACAGTAAGGACCAAAGATTATACACTGCAGGAAACAAAGGACTGAAGTGGAGCAAAGGAAGGCAGACAGAAGCAGAGGGTGGCCTGGGAAAGCCTCTTCAAGGAGATGACACTGAAGCCATTGTTGGGTGGGGAGGACCCCTGTTGCAGGTGCACACTGAAGAGTGGCACTCAACCAGGCTTGTACCCTTTAAACTCTTTAGCTCAGGAAAAGCAAAACTGAGGAAGGGAGCTAATGAGGCAGGCACTAAATGCAACAAGGCGTCTTCGACCGGGGTAGGGGAGGGGCCTTGGAAGGACAACTGGAAAATCTGAATGTGTACTTTCCATTAGTGAAGGTACTGATGCTAAGTTTCCAGAATTTGATTGTCAAACCCAGGGACTTTGTTGTTTTGACTGGTTGGCTACGTGGCCTCTCACATGCTAACCATAAACTCTACCACTGAGCTACATCCCTAGCCCTGAAGCTGAGTTATACAAGACAGCATTCCTGTTCTTTAGGAGAGACACACTGAAGTATTTGGAATAAAGGGTCACAGTGTTTAGAGTTTACTCTAAAATAACAAAGGAAAAATGAATAGCAGTAACAATATTTTTTAAAGGAGAGAAAAGAATGGTGTGATGATTAACTTGATGGACTTTAGAATCACCATAGAAACAAACTGGGCAAATCGACGGGAATTTTCTAGATTAGACTGAGATAGGAAGATCCATCCTAAATGTGGGCAGGACCACTCCATGGACTGAAGTCGCAGACTGAATAAAAAGGAGAAAGCAAGCTGAGCACTGGCACTCACCTGGCTGCTTCCTCACTGCAGGAGCAATGTGACCAGCTGCTTCATAGCTCCTGCTGTTGCCTTCCCTGCCATGATGGACTAACTTCAAACTGTGGGCCAAAATAAACCCTTCCTTCCTTAAGTTGTGTCCGTCAGGTATTTTGTCACAGTGAGAACAGTAACTAATACAAAGGGCATTTCAGGCAGAGGTTCTAGGGTGAGAAAAAGCTTGGCTGGCTTGGGACAACTGAATGACCCAAGCAAGGGGCAATGGCACAAGCCAAGAGTCATGGGTTACTTGGCTGTGGGAGCACAGCTCAATCAAGGAGGCTCTCAAAAGATTCTCCCCTGGACCACACAAGTGTTGATGGCAGCCAAAGAGCCAGAACATGTGGAGGGGCTAGAAAAAGGAGGAAGCTGAGAACCAGTTTGGAGGTGGTACATCACAGGACTTTTGATGACTTGGGTGGTGGAGGTGAGAGAGAGGGGGAGCCAGGGATCACTCCAGCCTTTCAGCCTGAAGCACCAAGCCCATGGGCATGCCATTTACTTACTACAAGATGGAAAAACTAGGGGCAAGTTGGTGAGGATGTGGATCAGTCACTGTTTTGGACATGTTGAGTTCTGGATGCCTGTGAGGCATCCAAGTAGGTCACTGCAGCCTCAGCTCCTGGCTCCAGAAAAGCAGGCTGGATGACAGACTGCAACAGGAGACGTGAGAGCCCAGAATGTAGTGGGCAGCTGAGCCCTGCACCCCCAAATCTCCCAGTTGGTCTCAGCTGGCTGAGGCTGCGGCCTCATCTCCTTCAATTTCAGCCTCTCTTCTTCCCTTTGAACTGTAAGATGCTCCCTGACCCAAGCTTTGCTATCCAAGGAAAAAGATGTCTGAACTGGAGAACCCAACACAAACCACAGTACCTGCCCTTCCTCCTCCCTCAACGGGAATGGCAGTGCCCCAGAAGAAACCTGGCCAGTCACCATAGCAACAGCTGAGCCTTGGCCTGGAACCAATCAGGTACCTGGAGACTGACCTGGGGACAGGCCAACTGCTGCCCCAAAGTAGGGGGATGTCAATCCATCAAACCTCCCCCCAACTCCTGGCTCAACCTCAAGGATCCCCCACCTTTCTGAGCCTCAGCAAAGAAAACCAGAAGCTGGATATGCAGAAATAGAATGGGGAGGGTCCAGGGAGCCCCGGCCTCCACCCACCCCATCTCCATAAACATTTCAAGACCTTCTCCAGGACAGTGAACAGCAGAAACTGTATGTTGATTTGGGCCTCTGCTCCTTCCCCTAGGATCAGCCCGGTGACACCTCTAAACCCTCCTCTCCCATATGGTCACTGTCCTCATTTTGCCTGCTAGTGTGGCCCACAGGACTCGGACTCCATTTGCACTAAGAGCTAGCTGCACATTAACATCTTGTATGTCATAAAGGAAGCTGCAGGAAAGGACTAGATGACAACCCCAAAGAGCCTCTCCCTGGCCCAAGGTTCCAGGCCACTGCCCCCCATGATGCCCCAGTTGAGGTATTTCACCGTAAACTAGTCCTTGGGAAGCTACAAGGTCATCTGGTACAGACTCCAAGGCAAGCGGGTTGGCTTGGAGCCTCCACCCTGTAGGCTTCTTTTGGGAATCTAAGAGACACATGCTATCACATGCAGAGACCCCTGTCCCCAGTACCCTCATGCCTATCTCTTGCCTAGTACTTACGCTCTGGTCGTCATCCTCACTTCGCATGTGGTTCGCAATGAAACGCACGCCATCCACGGCCTCCTGGAGGCCACAGTTGCACTGCCCCAATGAGCGCGCTGAGCGTGCTGAGCCCGGGGTGGCTGCGGGCTCTGCCCTGAAGGCCCCAGCCAAGCCAGGGTTGACAAAGCAGGTGCACCGGTCGGCCGATGGACCCTCACGGAAGAAGAGGGCACCTGCACCCTCGCGTTCTCCCTGGTGCCTCCGCAGGCGCAGGCGTTGACGTGCACAGCGATGGCGTGGCTGCTGCAGGAAGAGCAAAGTGGGCAGTTTCTCCAGAAAGACCACCTTGACCCAGGGTGCCATGGTGTGTGTGGTGGGTGAGCGGTGGTGCACGTTGAGCACACACACACTGGTGACGATGGAGAAGGTGACCAGCACCATGGTGAACATGAGGTACTTTCCAACAAGCGGCACATCAAGAGAGGTGGGGGGCACGATCTTGGAGATTAGAAGCAGGAAGACTGTGAGCGCCAGCAGCACGGAGATGCACAGCGTCATCTTCTCACCACAGTCCGAGGGCAGGTAGAAGACGAGGATGGCCAGCGAGGTGATGAGCACACAGGGGATGATGAGGTTGATGGTATAGAAGAGTGGCTTGCGACGAATGATGAAGTCATAGGTGATGTCAACATAGGTGGAATCCTCGGGGTTCTCATTGCGCCGGCCTGGCAGCGCCACGATGTCCCACTCACCACTGGGTGTGAAGTCATCCAGGCTGGCCACGTCACTCTTGAGCACCAGGTCAATCTCGGTGCGGTCGTAGGTCCATGAGCGGAACTTCATGGTGCAGTTCTGCTGGTCAAATGGGAAGTGCTTCACCTCAATCTTGCAGGCACTCTTGTAAATAGCAGGTGGTAGCCAAAAGATGCTGCCGTCGTAGGAGACCACCGCATTGGAATAGAAGGATACCTCATACATGCCGTCAGCACTGCCAAGGAATGGGCCAGTCAGCCCTGTCCTGAGCATCTGCATCCCACCCATCCACCTATCCCTGAGCCAAAGAGGAGAACCCAGACTGGGAGTGACCATCTAGTACACAGAGGTGGAGCAGGAATTGAGCAAGATGGGGACGTGCATGGGTTGGTGATGAGAACAGGTGTCCTGTGTAGGAGGCCTGTATATCCCTTCAGGAGGGATATGGAGGGAGGGAGAGAGGGAATCTGTCTGCTACTTGTCTCATTTTGTGTGAGCTAGATGTTGGAGGAGACAAGCCAGAGCAATGAAGGGGCATAGACACAGTCCCATTGGTTAAGAGACTCAACTCCGCACCTTAGAAGTGAGAGGATTGATTGCAGGAAGGAGAAAGAATCTAGAGGAGACGCTGGGACCTTAAATTTCTTTGCTTGCACCCAGGCTTCTGGGAGTGCCGATTCTTGAATAAATCTAGGCCATGGGAGCTGTTGGTCTTTGTTTAATGTCCTGATCCCAGCTCCAAATACTGGTGGTCTAAGTGGCTGGGAGGGGCTGGTCCTGGTCCTAGTCATGGTAGCTGTCCACACTGCATCCCACTGGCTGGGTCAGTCTGTGTGGATAATGCCTGTCTATAACCTGCCAGTGAGAAGCCTCTCCTCCCTCACAACATCAGCACATTCCTTTTATTTTCCTCCAAGATTTCATCTCCTCTTGAGTATACCTCTGGTCTCCTCTAAACTTCCACTACCCCAGGGCCACTTACTTGTTGTACAGGACCACATCTGGGAGCCAGATGTGTTTGGAAGGGAGCCGAACTTTCTTCATATTGTCAAAGTCCTCAGGCTTCCAGGTAAGGCGATAATCCTCCCACTCCTAGGAAAGAGAGAGCAAAGTAGTACCAACCTCTGCCCCCAAGAGGGGTCCAAGGTCAAGGAACAGGACAAAAGGGAACCCATGTAGCCTGAGGAGAAAATAAAAGTCAGCCATCTCCCCACTGTGACTTCTCTGCCCAAATGTAGCTCATATGATATGTTCTTTAATTTGCACAGCTAAGCTGGGGTATTAGAATCTACATTTTACAAATGAGAAAATGAATCTTGGAGAGTTTAACATGCTTAAAATCACAAAGCTGGGCTGGGTATAGCGGTACATGCCTTTAATCCCTCCACTTGGGAGGCAGAGGCAGGTGGATCTCTGTGAGTTTGAGGCCAGCCTGGTCTACAGAGAGTTCTAGCCAGAACTATACAGTAAGACCTTGTCTCAAAAAAACAAAAACAAAACTGAAAACCCCACAGAGCCGATGAGTGGCACAACCAAGGATTTGAATTCAATTATTCAAAGTCTCTATCTTTTTTACCTCTTTTGAAAAGACAGAGAGAAAAATGACTTCTAAAGGGGGGGGGTGTGGGTGGGAAGAGCACTGACCTGCGTTAGCCAGACATTGGTGGTCATGATCTGCTCCCGCTCATGCTGCAAGGAAACAGAGTAGCTGTTGAGAAGGCCCCTGGCCCACTCTTAATGGTCAGTCCCTCCCACCTTGGAAACACCAAAGGAATATACACAAGCACTAGCACCAGCTGGCTGGGCTGAACAGAGTTTGGGACCCATACTCACCACACTGATGAGCTGGGCCAGTGATACCATGAGCTGTACAGTCACCAGCTCAGAGCCATTGGTGGCAGGGCGGATAAGCTTGTTGTAGCGGGAAGGATCCAGGAGATGCTCCACCAGCCGCTCCTCTGTGTCTGTACCCCACACCTCTGGGCAAGACAGGGCAAGAAGTGAGTAAATGGGGTTCATAAAGAGCCTACCCTACCCTTTATGAAATGCATTGGCCCAACCAGGAGATCACAGCTTCCTCCTACAGTCTCATCCCTAAGGATACTGCAAATTGTTAAATTTTGCCATGGAAGTCCCTGACTGACTTTCATAGGGAAGCCCATCTCTAAGACAATGAGTCTCGACAGCCTCCAGACTAAGAACCCACTCTTCCAGGATTATGGACATCTACCCCCCCTCAAGATCTCAAAAGGACAAGCCTCTGAGGCTTGAGATCTCTACTTCCATGGGGTTGAAGTAGAACAGACAGGCTGTCTGCCCTTGTAGATGAAGGCAGCTCCATTCCTGCAGGAGCCCACCCTGTTGTGCTAGCATGCAGGTGGGGAACACTCATTCTGTGCATTGCCTTTGTACTGGCCCTCTCCACCCCTGTCCCCTTCTGTTAGCTTTGCAGAGGGACATCCTTCCCCACCCCTCACAGAGCTCCATCCTCATCTTAGTTTGGCAGTTTCTACTCGGAATTCCAAGTTCTCAGTCTTATCCTATAAAAGGCAGGAAGTCAGTGCTCTCCCTTTCCTGCCTTGTCCCTGTCTCCCAAATCAGGAGCCCAAAGAGGAAAGTGGGAAAGAATAGGGAGCTGAGGGAGAGCTGTTAACCGAGGTCATAGTCAGATGGTATCTCAGTCCTCCTGCCATCTCAGAAAAATGAGATCCCTTCCTCCCTTCCTCTTTGTGCCCTCTTGCTCCATCCCTGCACTGGCCAGGGTTCCATCTCTCCCTAGCCTCTCTCCAGCACCTAAGCCCTAGTCTTGCTCCCAGATCCGTCTCCCAGATGCTTTGTGCCAACCCCGGGGTCTCTCAGCATTCCTAGGAAGCTCCTCCACCTCCAGGGAATCCCTTTTGCCTTCAGTCCTGGTAGGGATGACAGAGCTCAGCGTCCTGGATCACTGGCTGGGGTAGGGAGCCTCGTTCGACCCGTTCGTACCTGGGCACAGCCAGAGGAGGCCAAAAGTGAATAGAAGCGCCATGGAACTGGAGCGTCCAGCCATGCCGCTGGCATAGCACCAGGGCTGCAGGCGGGGCGCTGTCCCTGGTGCTGAAGCCGCTACAACTAACTCCGCTGGGGCCAGGGTGGGGCTCGTGGCCTTTCCAGCTTCAGGGACGTCCCACCCTACTGCAGATCCTGGGGCCGCGAGGAGGGTTCGGCTTCTCGCCTATCCCGGCTGCTCTTCCAGGGAACACAATTGGGACGGCGAGGGGAGGAGTCTCCGCCCCGGAGCCGGAAGCGCTGGATCCAGGAAAAAAAGATGCTCTTTGACTGGACCTGCCTAGGTTGAGTGCGAGAGGCAAACCTGAGAGGTCCATTGCTCGGTAGTGGCGTTCTGAAGCCCGAAGCTGGGGCAGGATCTGGAAGGGCCAAGCTGGAGTAAGACAAGTCGGTCAGGGCCCTCTTGGGGGGGGGGGGCCCTTGGGTT